GTTTACGGGCTTGGTTACCACACCTTGCGATTAAAGGGCCGAGGGAGTTCTCGCAGTTTGGGTTACCACGCCTTGCGATGGATGTGCGTGAAGGGTGGCACCGAATTTCAGAAATGTGGCAAATCCCCTGTGTTTTTGGACCCTGACCCCGCGGATCTGCGTGAGGGGTGGCACCGAATTTCAGAAATGTGGCAAATCCCATGTGTTTTTGGACCCTGACCCCGCGGATCTGCGTGAGGGGTGGCACCGAATTTCAGAAATGTGGCAAATCCCATGTGTTTTTGGACCCTGACCCCGCGGATCTGCGTGAGGGGTGGCACCGAATTTCAGAAATGTGGCAAATCCCCTGTGTTTTTGGACCCTGACCCCGCGGATCTGCGTGAGGGGTGGCACCGAATTTCAGAAATGTGGCAAATCCCATGTGTTTTTGGACCCTGACCCCGCGGATCTGCGTGAGGGGTGTCGATTTCGAGCCCCCCCAGCAATTCAGACAACGCGCCCAGGAGACGCTAAAAATCTGGTTTGGGCCTCCCCCCCCCTCGCGCGGTCAATCAACTAGTTACAGTAACCAGCAAGAAGCAGAACTGTAACACTGGAAACTACAAGCTACAACTGGTACTGGAAACTGCGAACCCGCGCCTCGCAGCCTGGTGGCCCCACAAGGGGGCCGGCGGATATATATATATATATATATATATAATATATATATATATATTATATATATTATATATATCCCTGGGGGGCAGGCCCGGGGCCCACAAACAGCTGCCCCGACCCCCCATGGGAGGACGGGGCGGCCAGGGAGGGCCAAAATAATCCAGGAGGGCCTCCAGAGGCTCCCCAGATTGCCCAAGCGGACCCCGAGTCGCCGAAAGACCGCTCCTGGACGCCCAAGATAGGCCCAAGACGGCCCGAGAAGCCCCCCCAAGGCACTCCACGACGCTTCAAGACGCCTCTCCCGAGCGCTTCAAGAGACCAAAATCGCAAAATCGCAAATTTTTCGAAGGTTTTGGAGAGATTTTGGCCTTCCAGCCTTTTCGGCTGTCCGACGTTGCAGGCCGGCTCCATAGGCCCCCAAGAGCGCCCCAAGACGGTCCAAGAGGGACCCCAGACGGCCCCAGAGGCGCCCAAGAGAGCCCCAAGACGGCCCCAAGATGCGCCCAAGAGGGGGACCACGACTCCCAAATTCGACCCTCCTGCTTGAAGAGTGCCCCAGGAGGCGCCAAGGAGCCCCCAGAGGCCCCAGGAGGCCCCCGAGAGGCACGAGGCCATTTCTTTATTGCTTGGGGCATGACGGGCGTCATGGCCCCCGCTCCCCCCCCCCTATGACGTAACGCTCCCCCCCCCAGTGCGCTCCGGGCACTGCCGCTGTGCGCATTGGGATCCGCGTAGGTGTCCTCCGCGTAGGAATCCGCATAGGTGTCTGGTCCGCAGGCGTCGTCGTCGTCGTCGTCGTCGTCGTCGTCGTCGTCGTCGTCGTCGTCGTCGTCGTCGTCATCGTTCGTCGTCGTCGCTCGTGGTTCGTCGCTCGTCGCTCATCGTCGTCGTGCGCGCGGACGCGGCTGGAACCTGTTTTTACGTCCGGGCCGATGACGGCAATCATCTGGGGGGGGAGGGGGTCGATGACGTCATGTTTCGCGCCGGCGGCGTTTGGGAATGGTTAGGAATGACGGAGGACGGGTAGCACGAACATGTAGGTGGCGATATGCACCACAACGCCTGTGTACATCACAGTGCCCGCGTGCACCATAGCGCTTGTGTACACCACACCGCCGATGTACACCACAGCAGCCGCGTGCAACACAGCGTCAGTTTGTGCCACCGTGCCTGCGGGCACAGCAGCTCCTGTGTACACCACAGCGCTTGCGTACACCACATCAGCCGTGCGCAACACAGCACCAGTGTACAGCACACTGCCTGCGTACATTGCAGTGCCTGTGTACGCTACGGCGCCTGTGTGCACCACATCAGCCGTGTGCAACACAGCACCATTGTTGTGTATATAATTTCAGAAGGAACTTGTGACAAAATGGAGCGCGTGTGGATTCCAGAAATCAAGCAATGGAAAACAAATCCTCATGGACAAAGGAGCGCCGCTGGAATCTACGAGTCCCCCCGAGTCCGCCCGCATCACCCTAACTCCCACTCGCGTCTAGGAGGCTCCAGCTAAACTGGCCGTCCGAGAACCAAGTGGACCGATTCAATCGACCATTCTGCGGTGCACGCTGAGATGCGCACGTGCGTTGTAACGCCAAGCCGCACGACATGGGGTAAGAAGGAGAAAGAGGAGGACGAGGAGGAGGAGGTGGAGGAGGAGGAGGAGGAGGAGGAGGGAGGAGGGAAAAACGTCGCATTCGATTATCAGAACTTTCCTGGCGTGGCGTTTAGTTGTCCGCATCAGATCCTGACGTACATGATCCTTCTACCTGTCCTATGCACGCAGGCACTCTGGTGTACACCAGCGCTGCGTTGCACGCGGATGCTGTGGTGTAGACAGGCGCTGTGGCGTGCACGGGCGCTGCGGTGCACGCAAGCACTGTGGTGTACTCAAGTGTTGTGTTGCACATGGCTGCTGTGGTGTATGTACACCGGCGCCATAATGCTCCCAAGTCTTGTGGTATACACGGGCGGTGCGTTGCACACGGCTGTTGCGGTGTACGCAGGCGCTGTGGTGCACACGCGCGGTGTGGTGCACGCGAGCGTTGTGGTGTACACAGGCGCAATGGGCAGATCGCTACTTACATGCTGCTCGCGTCGTCGTCGTCGCTCGTCGCTCGTCGCTCGTCGCGTCGTGCGCGCGGGCGCGGCTGTGGTGCCGGAGCCACACGGCGGGGGGGAGGCGTCACGTCATACCCCCCCCTGCCCTCCCCCCCCCGCCCACCCATGACGCCCGTCATCGCCGAACATAAAGAAACGCCTTCCACCCAGGAGACCCAAACAAGGCCTCAAGAGGCCACAAAACAGCCCCGAGGAGGTCCCACAACGGCTCTCTTGGGGCCCTCTTGGGGCCCGAGAGGGCCTCAAGAGGGCCCCAAGAGAGCCCCAAGAAGGGGAACGCGAACCCAACAGCAGAGCTTTCAGCCCTAAGAGGCCCACAGGAGGCCCCAACAGTCCCCAAGTGGTCCGACGAGGCCCCCCAAAGCCCCCCCCTAGGCTCCAAAAAGCTCACAGGAGACGTACACGGGGCCCCAAGATAGCCGAACAGTGCTCTCGATGCATCAAGGACGCCCCGGGAGGCTTCCGGATTGCCCCAATGTGGCCTCAAGCCGGGCCTCCGCGCAGCCAAGACGGCCAATTGACTGCTTCAGACTGCAGAACATCACTTTCCGACTGCCCGGAGAACCCTGACGAAGCCCCCAAGGGACCCCAAGAAGCCCCAAGATGCCCACCCGAGAAGCACCGAAGAGGTGCCTCCAACGGCCAATTGAGGAAGCACGGAGAACCTGCTCCCGGAAAGCTTCCCAGGAACATGATTCTCGGGTTGCCGCCCTCTCCCCAAACCATGTTTATAAACGCCTGCCAGGATAAAAGAACGAGAGTCCCAAGCGGCGTTACCTGCCGCCACGCTCGGAAACGCGTCTGGCCCCGAAGCCTCCGGAGGCGCCCAACACCCCAACAAATCATGTCCCCAGGAAGTCTTACGGCCACTGCCGCCGACGTTGAAGGAGGACGGTCCAGGACACCCAGAAATCTTCCAAACAGGCTTCCAATAGGGCGCCGAGACAGCCCAGGGCCGCCCCCAGACGGCCCAAGAAAGCCCCAACATAGACGAAAAGGGCCGCAAGAGGCCCCGAAACGATGACGTATCGTTCGAACACGCCCAAGATGCCCCCCGGACGGCTCACATGGCTTCCAACACAGCCCAAAGGGACGCCAATATCATGGATTGTTCTTAGGTTTTTGATGGATTTCAGACACCCAATGTCGCCCCGACAGGCCCCCACGAGGGCGCCGAGACGGCCCAGGGACGCCCTGCCGCGGGCACGAGGCGGGGCCCGGGACGGGGCCCTCGCACCGGGGGGCCAGGGGGCCCTGCCGTGGCGCTGGGGGCCTTGTAAAGTCGCCCGAAGACGGCCCTGGCGTTTCCAGACAACGAAAACGACCAATGACCGCCCGAGATCACCCCAGAATTGGTCCCTGACTGTCCAAGAGGCCTCCAAGACGCCCCAAGAGGTCTCCAAGATGGCTCCCAAGGAGCGCCAGGAGGCACAACTAATTAGTTTTCCTCTGGTTTTTGATAGATTTTCGAGTTCTCGCCTTTGAGTTCCCTGACGCTCCACGACGGCTCAAGATGTTTTAATTTCCGCTCCAAGGCATCCCCAGAGTCCTCGAAGACGGTCACAAGACAGCCCACGGGGGTCCCAAGACGGCGCCAGAGGCGCGCAAGGCGGCCCGAGAGGGCCCCAAGACGGCCCCAAGATGGAGCCAAGAGGGTTGACACGAACCGAAAATCCGAGTCTTCCACCCCGAGAGGCTCTCATGAGGCCCCGAGAAGCCCCAAACAGGCTCCAAGAGGCCCCAAGAAGCCCTCCAGGGGGCCAAAGAGTATCCAAGAGGCCTCCCACGAATGCCCCAAGAGGCAAACATCAATGTCTTGCCATAGGTTTTTGATTGATGTTCGAGTTTTCAGCCTTTGGGCGTACTGACGCTTCAAGACGGCCCAAAAGGCCTCCAAAGCCAATCCAAGATAGCCCAAGAGGCCTCCAGCAGGGCCCAAGGCAGCCCGAGAGGGCACCAATACGGCCCCAAGGGGGGCCCAAGAGGGGTACGACGAACCGAAAATCCGAGCCTTCCACCCTGAGAGGCTCTCAGGAAGCCCCAGAGGCCCCCAAATGGGACCCAAGAGCCCCTCAAGAAGCTCCCCAGAAGGCCGAAGCGGTTCCAAGAAGTATTGTTTTCCCATCTGCCGTTGATGGATTATAGAGTTCCCAGCCTTTTGGCATCCCGACGCTCCAAGACGGCCCAAGTGGCCCCCACGGCCGCTCCAAGATAGCCGAAGAGGCCTCACCAAGAGGGCCCCAAGACGGCCCTCCGTAGCCATTTTGGCTCAAGCCATTTTGGCTCAAGGTCTTCTGCTCGAGCTACACGCCCGTAGCAAATCCAAGGCCGATCAGAGGACTTGTTTACGAGCGTACACCGTCTCAAACATGGGAGTTTGTGCAAGCTCGGGAGCTAAGAAGTCTGTTGCGAACCCCGCGGTCAAGGAGTCGTCGCCACCACCAAGCAAAGTCGAGGTACTCGGATTACCAGTCTCGCAGAACACGATGGGTCCAGTTTTGCTCGCTATGGACTGTGGGAAGGGTGGTCTGGAGATGTGCGACATCATGAAAGGCGAGCAGATGAAACCTGAGTTTCTGGCCATGAACCCGTTCCACCACATCCCGACCATGAAGGATGGAGGTGTCAGCATCGGCGAGTCTACTGCCATTCTCCGCTACATCGCGATGAGGTACAAGCCCGAGTACTACCCTGTGGACGACCCAGTCGCGTGTGGCAAGATCGATTTCGCCCTTGACTCTTTCACTGCTGAGGTGTACGAGAAAGGCCACTACCACACCGTGTACGTCGTTTTGGGGTTCACCTCAGCTCCTGTAGACCAGAAGGCCGCGAACGATAAGTACAGCGAGCTATTGGATGCCTGGCTCAAGCATTTCCTGCAGGGCAAGTTCGTGAACGGTGACAAGCTCAGTATCGCCGACTTCAAGGCTGTGCCATTCCTGATTGCTGGTTTGCAGCCAGCGGTGGAGTCAACAATTGGCTTGACGCTTCCTGACCGCGCAAGGCAGTACGTCGAGGACTTCTGTGCAGCTGTGCCGTCGTCGGGCATGCTGAAGAGCGCTGGAGGCTACTCTATTGTTGAGTTCCTTGCAAGCAAAGCGCCAGATGCGAAGGCAGCAGTCAACAGCTACACTAAGGTGGAGTATATCATGGAGCCAACACCAGAACCTTCGGGTGATGTGAAGATATTCGGATTACCAGTCTCGCAGAACACGATGGGTCCAGTTTTGCTCGCCATGGACTGTGGGAAGGGTGGTCTGGAGATGTGCGACATCATGAAAGGCGAGCAGATGAAACCTGAGTTTCTGGCCATGAACCCGTTCCACCACATCCCGACCATGAAGGATGGAGGTGTCAGCATCGGCGAGTCTACTGCCATTCTCCGCTACATCGCGATGAAGTACAAGCCCGAGTACTACCCTGTGGACGACCCAGTCGCGTGTGGCAAGATCGATTTCGCCCTTGACTCTTTCACTACTGAGGTGTACGAGAAAGGCCACTACCACACCGTGTACGTCGTTTTGGGGTTCACCTCAGCTCCAGCAGACCAGAAGGCTGCGAACGATAAGTACAGCGAGCTATTGGATGCCTGGCTCAAGCATTTCCTGCAGGGCAAGTTCGTGAACGGTGACAAGCTCAGCATCGCCGACTTCAAGGCTGTGCCATTCCTGATTGCTGGTTTGCAGCCAGCGGTGGAGTCAACAATTGGCTTGAAGCTTCCTGACCGCGCAAAGCAGTACGTCGAGGACTTCTGTGCAGCTGTGCCGTCGTCGGGCATGCTGAAGAGCGCTGGAGGCTACTCTATTGTTGAGTTCCTCGCGAGCAAAATGCCTGCGTAGGCAGCTGCCAGCAATGTAACAGGCGACCCCTGAGCTGTTGAAAGCAGCCTGGTGAAAGTTCACGTTTGCATTGCTGTGCGGGAGTGGTACAGACTAGATCTCTTCCTCGAGCCAACGGTGTATTTGGCACTTGTGCTTCGCGGTAAGGCTCTTGCGTTCGGTCCTCGGTATTTGCATCCGTGACTCCTTGCATCCATAGTTCCTCCTCCTTCTCCTCCCGCTCCCTCCTCTCTGGTTGTGGACCCTTTCCCCGCCTAGTGGCCCCCTCGTGGACCTCCCCCTCCTCCGCACCTGGCAGCAGGCAGCACACGTCCGTCGCTCTTCGGTGCCCGAAGCCTGTACATCGGCTGGTCGGAGGGAGGCACGAAGTCTGGCCCCGACAGACGTGTCCAGCTCTGCTCTCCAATTTTCCCGGCAGTCGTTGGCAGTGAGAAGCCTGATTTGCAAGCGCTATGGCACAGGGAGGTTTATCAAAGTTCCCTGTCACATGATAGCCAGCGTGGGCCCCGAACATGGTGCTTCTTGCTGTCTGTGTTTTTTGTTGTCTGCTCCCCACTCCACAGCTCGAGATTTGGGGTCCACGCTGGCAGACCTGCCAATTTATAATGCTTTCAGTTTCAGTAAATGTTTGATTTTCCCGAGGCATGCGTCCGCGGGTCGGGCTCACGCTGGATGCGTTTGCCCGCATTTTGTGCCGAGTGGTTCCCGAAGTCCTAGATACATGATGGGCTCTGGAATGCGGCATACTCGCTCCGTGTACCTCGGTTTTGCCGTGTTGTGCGCAAAAAAAGAGGGCCCCAAGACAGCCCACGAGGGCCCCAAGACGGTGCCCGAGGCGCCCAAGACGGCCCGAGAGGGCCCCAAGAGGGCCCCAAGAGAGCCCCGAGAAGGGGAACGCGAACCCAACAGCAGAGCTTTCAGCCCTAAGAGGCTCACAGGAGGCCCCAACAGTCCCCAAGTGGTCCGACGAGGCCCCCCAAAGCCCCCCACTAGGCTCCAAAAGGCTCACAGGAGACGTACACGGGGCCCCAAGATAGCCGAACAGTGCTCTCGATGCATCAAGGACGCCCCGGGAGGCTTCCGGATTGCCCCAATGTGGCCTCAAGCCGGGCCTCCGCGCAGCCAAGACGGCCAATTGATTGCTTCAGACTGCAGAACATCACTTTCCGACTGCCCGGAGAACCCTGACGAAGCCCCCAAGGGACCCAAGAAGCCCCGAGATGCCCCCCCGAGAAGCACCGAAGAGGTGCTTCCAACGGCCAATTGAGGAAGCACGGAGAACCTGCTCCCGGAAAGCTTCCCAGGAACATGATTCTCGGGTTGCCGCCCTCTCCCCAAACCATGTTTATAAACGCCTGCCAGGATATTATCCCGGCAAAGCAACCTAACATCGATGTGTAGGAGCATATCTGGAAGCATTCCCCTTAAGATTCGGATGAGAATCCAGTTGTAGAATTCTGCTGTTCTCGCAGTCGTAGTCGCATTCGCGATGACAGTCGCAGTCGCAGTCACAGCCTCAGCCTCACAGCCTCAGCCTCAGCCTCAGCCTCAGCCTCAGCCTCAGCCTGCCTCAGCCTCAGCCTCAGCCTGCTTCAGCCTCAGCCTCAGTCTGCCTTCAGCCTCGGCCTCAGCCTCAGCCTGCCTCAGCCTCAGCCTGCATCAGCCTCAGCCTCAGCCTCAGCCTGCCTCAGCATCAGCCTGCCTCAGCCTCAGCCTCAGCCTGCCTCAGCCTCAGCCTCAGCCTGCTTCAGCCTCAGCCTCAGTCTGCCTCAGCCTCGGCCTCAGCCTCAGCCTGCCTCAGCCTCAGCCTGCCTCAGCCTCAGCCTCAGCCTCAGCCTGCCTCAGCCTCAGCCTGCCTCAGCCTCAGCCTCAGCCTGCTTCAGCCTCAGCCTCAGTCTGCCTTCAGCCTCGGCCTCAGCCTCAGCCTGCCTCAGCCTCAGCCTGCATCAGCCTCAGCCTCAGCCTCAGCCTGCCTCAGCATCAGCCTGCCTCAGCCTCAGCCTCAGCCTGCCTCAGCCTCAGCCTCAGCCTCAGCCTCAGCCTCAGTCTGCCTTCAGCCTCCGCCTCAGCCTCAGCCTGCCTCAGCCTCAGCCTGCATCAGCCTCAGCCAGCCTCAGCCTGCCTCAGCCTCAGCCTGCTCAGCCTCAGCCTCAGCCTGCCTCAGCCTCAGCCTCAGCCTCAGCCTCCTGCCTCAGCCTCAGCCTCAGCCTGCCTCAGCCTCAGCCTCAGCCTGCTTCAGCCTCAGCCTCAGTCTGCCTCAGCCTCGGCCTCAGCCTCAGCCTGCCTCAGCCTCAGCCTGCATCAGCCTCAGCCTCAGCCTCAGCCTCAGCCTCAGCCTCAGCCTCAGCCTGCCTCAGCCTCAGCCTCAGCCTGCCTCAGCCTCAGCCTGCTTCAGCCTCAGCCTCAGTCTGCCTTCAGCCTCGCCTGCCTCAGCCTCAGCCTCAGCCTCAGCCTCAGCCTGCCTCAGCCTCAGCCTCAGCCTGCTTCAGCCTCAGCCTCAGTCTGCCTTCAGCCTCAGCCTCAGCCTCAGCCTGCCTCAGCCTCGCCTGCATCAGCCTCAGCCTCAGCCTCAGCCTGCCTCAGCATCAGCCTGCCTCAGCCTCAGCCTGCCTCTGCCTCAGCCTCAGCCTCGGCCTGCTTCAGCCTCAGCCTCATCTGCCTTCAGCCTCGGCTTCAGTCTCAGCCTGCCTCAGCCTCAGCCTGCATCAGCCTCAGCCTCAGCCTCAGCCTGCCTCAGCCTCAGCCTCAGCCATCAGCCTCAGCCTCAGCCTCAGCCTGCCTCAGCATCAGCCTGCTTCAGCCTTAGCCTCAGCCTCAGCCTGCTTCAGCCTGAGCCTCAGTCTGCCTTCAGCCTCGGCCTCAGCCTCAGCCTGCCTCAGCCTCAGCCTGCCTCAGCCTCAGCCTCAGCCTGCCTCAGCCTCAGCCTCAGCCTTCTTCAGCCTCAGCCTCAGTCTGCCTTCAGCCTCGGCCTCAGCCTCAGCCTGCCTCAGCCTCAGCCTGCATCAGCCTCAGCCTCAGCCTCAGCCTGCCTCAGCCTCAGCCTGCCTCAGCCTCAGCCTCAGCCTCAGCCTCAGCCTGCTTCAGCCTCAGACTCAGTCTGCCTTCAGCCTCGGCCTCAGCCTCAGCCTGCCTCAGCCTCAGCCTGCCTCAGCCTCAGCGAAGAACACGAAGTGGCCTACAGTTGGCTCCGGGCATTCAAAATCATGCCCAGGAATGGAATTCTGGGAACTCGAAGATCACGAAGTGGCCTACAGTTGGCTCGGGGCATTCAAAATGTGGCCCGGGAATGGAATTCTGGGAAGTCGAAGAACACGAAGTGGCCTACAGTTGGCTCCGGGCATCCAAAATGTGGCCCGGGAATGGAGTTCTGGGAAGTCGAAGAGCACGAAGTGGCCTACAGTTGGCTCCGGGCATCAAAAATGTGGCCCGGGAATGGAGTTCTGGGAAGTCGAAGAGCACGAAGTGGCCTACAGTTGGCTCCGGGCATTCAGAATGTGGCCCGGGAATGGAGTTCTGGGAGGTCGAAGAGCACGAAGTGTGTGACTGTATGCGAAAAACGATCCCCCCCGGCAAACCCCAACGGCCCCCCAACGGCTCCCCAACGGCTGCCCAGACCCCCCTGTGGAGTCATCTGCTGCTCTCTTTTGACACCACTAGAAACCTATCAGTCTTCGCTGTTAGGTAAATTATCCCGGCAAAGCAACCTAACAGCGATGTGTAGAAGCATATCTGAAAGCATTCCCCTTAAGATTCAGATGAAAATCCAGTTGTCGAATTCTGCTGTTCTCGCAGTCGTAGTCGCATTCGAGATGACAGTCGCAGCGGCAACGGCAGTCGCAGTCACAGCCTCAGCCTCAGCCTGCCTCAGCCTCAGCCTCAGCCTGCCTCAGCCTCAGCATGCCTCAGCCTCAGCCTCAGCCTGCTTCAGCCTCAGCCTCAGTCTGCCTTCAGCCTCGGCCTCAGCCTCAGCCTGCCTCAGCCTCAGCCTGCATCAGCCTCAGCCTCAGCCTCAGCCTGCCTCAGCATCAGCCTGCCTCAGCCTCAGCCTCAGCCTGCCTCAGCATTCAAAATGTGGCCCGGGAATGTAGTTCTGGGAACTCGAAGAACACGAAGTGGCTTACAGTTGGCTCCGGGCATTCAAAATCATGCCCAGGAATGGAGTTCTGGGAACTCGAAGACCACGAAGTGGCCTACAGTTGGCTCCGGGCATCCAAAATCTGGCCCGGGAATGCAGTTCTGGGAACTCGAAGACCACGAAGTGGCCTACAGTTGGCTCCGGGCATCCAAAATCTGGCCCGGGAATGGAGTTCTGGGAACTCGAAGACCACGAAGTGGCCTACAGTTGGCTCCGGGCATCCAAAATGTGGCCCGGGAATGGAGTTCTGGGAACTCGAAGACCACGAAGTGGCCTACAGTTTGCTCCGGGCATCCAAAATGTACGCCGGGAATGGAGTTCTGGGAACTCGAAGACCACGAAGTGGCCTACAGTTGGCTCCGGGCATTCAGAATGTGGCCCGGGAATGGAGTTCTGGGAGGTCGAAGAGCACGAAGTGTATGACTGTTGCATCCGGTTATTCAGAATGTGGCCTGGGAATGGGGTTCTGAGAGGTCGACGAGCACGAAATGTGTGACTGTTGGTGAAAAACGAGCCCGGCACAGGCCCGGCACCCTGCCGGCCGGCAACTCCCAACGCCTGCCCGGACCCCCCTGTGGAGTGATCTGTGAGCTCTTTTGAGTCAACTAGAAACCTATCAGTCTACGCTGTTAGGTAATTATCCCGGCAAAGCAACCTAACAGCGATGTGTAGGAGCATATCTGGAAGCATTCCCCTTAAGATTCAGATGAGAATCCAGTTGTAGAATTGTGCTGTTCTCGCAGTCGTAGTCGCATTCGCGATGACAGTCGCAGTGGAAACGGCAGTCACAGACACAGCCTCAGCCTCAGCCTGCCTCAGCCTCAGCCTCAGCCTGCCTCAGCCTCAGCCTGCCTCAGCCTCAGCCTCAGCCTGCTTCAGCCTCAGCCTCAGTCTGCCTTCAGCCTCGGCGTCAGCCTCAGACTGCCTCCAGCTGAAGCCTGCATCGGCACGGCCCAGCCTGCGGCCTGCGCTCAGCATCAGCTGCCTCAGCTCAGAATAAGCCTCGCCTCAGCCATTCAAAAATGTGCCTGGGAATGGAATTCCTGAACTCGAAGACTACGAAGTGGCCTACAGTTGGCTCCGGGTATTCAAAATCATGCCCAGGAATTGAGTTCTGGAACTCGAAGACCACGAAGTGGCCTACAGTTGGCTCCGGGCATTCAAAATCATGCCCAGGAATGGAGTTCTGGGAACTCGAAGACCACGAAATGGCCTACAGTTGGCTCCGGGCATTCAAAATGTGGCCCGGGAATGGAGTTCTGGGAACTCGAAGAGCACGAAGTGGCCTACAGTTGGCTCCGGGCATCCAAAATGTGGCACGGGAATGGAGTTCTGGGAAATAGAAGAGCACGAAGTGGCCTACAGTTGGCTCCGGGCATCCAAAATGTGGCCCGGGAATGGAGTTATGGGAAGTCGAAGAGCACGAAGTGGCCTACAGTTGGCTCCGGGCATTCAGAATGTGGCCCGGGAATGGAGTTCTGGGAGGTCGAAGAGCACGAAGTGTGGGGGAGGTGGTGAAAAACGATGTTTTGGCCCGGCCACAGGCACGGACGGCACCATCCCAACGATTGCCCGGACCCCCCGTGAGTGATTTGTGAGCTCTTTTGAGTCAACTAGAAACCCTTTTTTTATTCAGGTCTCGCTGTTAGGGAAAAGAAAAGAAGAGTCCCAAGCGGCGTATACCTTGCCGCCACCCCCGGAAACGCGTCTGGTCCCCGAAGCCTCCGGAGGCGCCCAACGACACCCCAACAAATCATGTTCCCAGGAAGTCCTACGGCCACTGCCGCCGACGTTGAAGGAGGACGGTCCACCCAGAAATCTTCCAAACAGGCTTCCAAGAGGGCGCCGAGACAGCCCAGGGCCGCCCACAGACGGCCCAAAAGACAAAAGCCCAACATAGACGAAGGGCGCAAGAGCCCGAACGATGAAAGTATCGTCGAACACGCCAGATGCCCCGGAGGACGGCACATGGCTTCAACACAGCAAAGGGGACGCCAAAATAAATTGATTGATCTTAGGTTCTTGATGGATTTCAGGACACCCAATGTGCCCCGAAGGCCTTCACGAGGGGGCGCTGAGACGCGCAGGGGACGCCCTGCCGCAGGGCACGAGGCGGGGCCCGGGACGGTGGCCCTTTTTTCTTTTTTTTTCGTTTTTTTCGAACGGGGGGCCAGGGGGCCAATGGGGGTTTTGCCGAGGCGCTGGGGGCCTTGTAAAGTCGCCCGAAGACGGCCCTGGCGTTTCCAGACAACGAAAACGACCAATGACCGCCCGAGATCACCCCAGAATTGGTCCCTGACTGTCCAAGAGGCCTCCAAGACGCCCCAAGAGGTCTCCAAGATGGCTCCCAAGGAGCGCCAGGAGGCACAACTAATTAGTTTTCCTCTGGTTTTTGATAGATTTTCGAGTTCTCGCCTTTGAGTTCCCTGACGCTCCACGACGGCTCAAGATGTTTTAATTTCCGCTCCAAGGCATCCCCAGAGTCCTCGAAGACGGACACAAAGACAGCCACGGGGGGGTCCCAAGGACGGACTGGAACCCGACAGAAGGCGCGCAAGGCTGCCCGAGAGGGCCCAAGACGGCCCCAAGAATGGAGCCAAAAAGAGGGTTGGCACCTACACAAACCGAAAATCGAGTCTCACCCCGAGCGGGCTTCTCATGAGGCCCACGAGAAGCCCCAAACAGGCTCAAGCGCCCCAAGAAGCCACAGGGGCCGAGGAGACCATGTTGCCTCCCACGAATGCCCCAAGAGGCAAACATCAATGTCTTGCCATAGGTTTTTGATTGATGTTCGAGTTTTCAGCCTTTGGGCGTCCTGACGCTTCAAGACGGCCCAAAAGGCCTCCAAAGCCAATCCAAGATAGCCCAAGAGGCCTCCAGCAGGGCCCAAGACAGCCCGAGAGGGCACCAATACGGCCCCAAGGGGGGCCCAAAAGGGGTACGACGAACCGAAAATCCGAGCCTTCCACCCTGAGAGGCTCTCAGGAAGCCCCAGAGGCCCCCAAATGGGACCCAAGAGGCCCTCAAGAAGCTCCCCAGAAGGCCGAAGCGGTTCTAAGAAGTATTGTTTTCCCATCGGCCGTTGATGTATTATAGAGCTCCCAGCCTTTTGGCATCCCGACGCTCCAAGACGGCCCAAGTGGCCCCCACGGCCGCTCCAAGATAGCCGAAGAGGCCTCACCAAGAGGGCCCCAAGACGGCCCTCCGTAGCCATTTTGGCTCAAGCCATTTTGGCTCAAGGTCTTCTGCTCGAGCTACACGCCCGTAGCAAATCCAAGGCCGATCAGAGGACTTGTTTACGAGCGTACACCGTCTCAAACATGGGAGTTTGTGCAAGCTCGGGAGCTAAGAAGTCTGTTGCGAACCCCGCGGTCAAGGAGTCGTCGCCACCACCAAGCAAAGTCGAGGTACTCGGATTACCAGTCTCGCAGAACACGATGGGTCCGGTTTTGCTCGCTATGGACTGTGGGAAGGGTGGTCTGGAGATGTGCGACATCATGAAAGGCGAGCAGATGAAACCTGAGTTTCTGGCCATGAACCCGTTCCACCACATCCCGACCATGAAGGATGGAGGTGTCAGCATCGGCGAGTCTACTGCCATTCTCCGCTACATCGCGATGAGGTACAAGCCCGAGTACTACCCTGTGGACGACCCAGTCGCGTGTGGCAAGATCGATTTCGCCCTTGACTCTTTCACTACTGAGGTGTACGAGAAAGGCCACTACCACACCGTGTACGTCGTTTTGGGGTTCACCTCAGCTCCAGCAGACCAGAAGGCTGCGAACGATAAGTACAGCGAGCTATTGGATGCCTGGCTCAAGCATTTCCTGCAGGGCAAGTTCGTGAACGGTGACAAGCTCAGCATCGCCGACTTCAAGGCTGTGCCATTCCTGATTGCTGGTTTGCAGCCAGCGGTGGAGTCAACAATTGGCTTGACGCTTCCTGACCGCGCAAGGCAGTACGTCGAGGACTTCTGTGCAGCTGTGCCGTCGTCGGGCATGCTGAAGAGCGCTGGAGGCTACTCTATTGTTGAGTTCCTTGCAAGCAAAGCGCCAGATGCGAAGGCAGCAGTCAACAGCTACACTAAGGTGGAGTAGATCATGGAGCCAACACCAGAACCTTCGGGTGATGTGAAGGTATTCGGATTACCAGTCTCGCAGAACACGATGGGTCCAGTTTTGCTCGCCATGGACTGTGGGAAGGGTGGTCTGGAGATGTGCGACATCATGAAAGGCGAGCAGATGAAACCTGAGTTTCTGGCCATTAACCCGTTCCACCACATCCCGACCATGAAGGATGGAGGTGTCAGCATCGGCGAGTCTACTGCCATTCTCCGCTACATGCGATGAAGTACAAGCCCGAGTACTACCCTGTGGACGACCCAGTCGCGTGTGGCAAGATCGATTTCGCCCTTGACTCTTTCACTACTGAGGTGTACGAGAAAGGCCACTACCACACCGTGTACGTCGTTTTGGGGTTCACCTCAGCTCCAGCAGACCAGAAGGCTGCGAACGATAAGTACAGGCGAGCTATTGGATGCCTGGCTCAAGCATTTCCTGCAGGGCAAGTTCGTGAACGGTGACAAGCTCAGCATCGCCGACTTCAAGGCTGTGCCATTCCTGATTGCTGGTTTGCAGCCAGCGGTGGAGTCAACAATTGGCTTGAAGCTTCCTGACCGCGCAAAGCAGTACGTCGAGGACTTCTGTGCAGCTGTGCCGTCGTCGGGCATGCTGAAGAGCGCTGGAGGCTACTCTATTGTTGAGTTCCTCGCGAGCAAAATGCCTGCGTAGGCAGCTGCCAGCAATGTAACAGGCGACCCCTGAGCTGTTGAAAGCAGCCTGGTGAAAGTTCACGTTTGCATTGCTGTGCGGGAGTGGTACAGACTAGATCTCTTCCTCGAGCCAACGGTGTATTTGGCACTTGTGCTTCGCGGTAAGGCTCTTGCGTTCGGTCCTCGTATTTGCATCCGTGACTCCTTGCATCCATAGTTCCTCCTCCTTCTCCTCCCGCTCCATCCTCTCTGGTTGTGGACCCTTTCCCCGCCTAGTGGCCCCCTCGTGGACCTCCCCCTCCTCCGCACCTGGCAGCAGGCAGCACACGTCCGTCGCTCTTCGGTGCCCGAAGCCTGTACATCGGCTGGTCGGAGGGAGGCACGAAGTCTGGCCCCGACAGACGTGTCCAGCTCTGCTCTCCAATTTTCCCGGCAGTCGTTGGCAGTGAGAAGCCTGATTTGCAAGCGCTATGGCACAGGGAGGTTTATATCAAAGTTCCCTGTCACATGATAGCCAGCGTGGGCCCCGAACATGGTGCTTCTTGCTGTCTGTGTTTTTTGTTGTCTGCTCCCCACCCCACAGCTCGAGATTTGGGGTCCACGCTGGCAGACCTGCTAATTTATGATGCTTTCAGTTTCAGTAACTGTTTGATTTTCCCGAGGCATGCGTCCGCGGGTCGGGCTCACGCCGGATGCGTTTGCCCGCATTTTGTGCCGAGTGGTTCCCGAAGTCCTAGATACATGATGGGCTCTGGAATGCGGCATACTCGCTCCGTGTACCTCGGTTTTGCCGTGTTGTGCGCAAAAAAAGAGGGCCCCAAGACAGCCCACGAGGGCCCCAAGACGGTACCCGAGGCGCCCAAGACGGCCCGAGAGGGACCCAAGAGGGCCCCAAGAGAGCCCCAAGAAGGGGAACGCGAACCCAACAGCAGAGCTTTCCGCCCTAAGAGGCCCACAGGAGGCCCCAACAGTCCCCAAGTGGTCCGACGAGGCCCCCCAAAGCCCCCCACTAGGCTCCAAAAGGCTCACAGGAGACGTACACGGGGCCCCAGGATAGCCGAACAGTGCTCTCGATGCATCAAGGACGCCCCGGGAGGCTTCCGGATTGCCCCAATGTGGCCTCAAGCCGGGCCTCCGCGCAGCCAAGACGGCCAATTGACTGCTTCAGACTGCAGAACATCACTTTCCGACTGCCCGGAGAACCCTGACGAAGCCCCCAAGGGACCCCAAGAAGCCCCAAGATGCCCCCCCGAGAAGCACCGAAGAGGTGCCTCCAACGGCCAATTGAGGAAGCACGGAGAACCCCCCAGAAGCCCTTCAGATGCCCCCCACGAAGACCCAAGAGGTTCCCAAGAGGCCCTCAGCAGGCACGACTATGTCACGCGCCTGTGCTTGATAGCGCTGTCCAAGATCTTCTAGCGCGCCCCCGACCTGGGCTAGAACCTGACGATGATGATGATGATGGTGATGATGATGATGATGATGATGACGACGATGACGAAGACGATTACGATGATGATGACAATGATGATGATGATGATGATGATGATGATGATGATGATGATGCTGCTGATGATGATGATGATGATGATGATGGTGAGGAGTCTGTCGATACTGATGATTATGATGGTGGTGGTGGTGCTGGTGGTGTTGGTGATGGTGGTAATGATGGCGATAGATGGTGTTGCTGCTGATGATGAATGATGATGAGGAGGATTAGCATTACAATGATGACGATGATGATGATGATGATGATGATGATGATGATGATGATGATAATGATGATGACGATGATGATGATGGTGATGATGCCGATGATGGTGATGATGATAATACTGATGATGATACTGGTGATGATATTGATGCTGATGATCAGGATGATGGTGATGGTATTGATGTTGATGGTCATGATTATGGTGATGGTGATGGTGATGGTGATGATGATGATGATGATGATGATGATGATGATGATGATGATGGTGATGATGATGTTGGTGGTGGTGATGATGAGGATGCTGAGGATGAGGAGGATGCTTGTTGTGATTATGATTATGATGCTGATGCTGCTGAGGGTGATGATGCTGCTGCTGATGAGGATGATGCCGATGATGCCGCTGATGATGATGGTGAAGATTATGATAAAGAAGAAGATGGTGATGGTAGTGGTGGTGGTGGTGATGTGGTGATGTGATGCTGGTGGTAATGATGGTGGTGGTAGTGGTGGTGATGATGAGGAGGAGGAGGAGGAGGAGGATGGTGCTTATGCTGATGATGATGATCGATGGTGGTAATGATGTATTGTTGTTGGTGATGCTTGGTGAGGCTTGATGATGATGATGGCTATGGTCGTGAAAATGGTGATGGCGATGGAGGAGGAGGAGGAGGAGAGGGATTAGGAGGAAGAGGATGAGGATGAGGATCATAAAGGTGATGAGGACGAGGGGGCCCTCCCCTCCCGCGACCGGGCCCTTCCATCCCGTGACCTCGTAGTCTCCCCTCAGAGAGAGGAAAGGAAGATCAGCCACGCGAAGAGGGGGGTGGGGGGAGGGGGGAGGGCTTTTAGAAGCACCCCTTCTTCTTAGAAGGCGTGGGCCTGATCTATAGATGTAAGGCCGGCGCCTTCTAAGAAGCAGCCTGCTTCTAAGAAGCCCTCCTCTCTCCCCCCACCCCCTTGTGCGAGCCGCCAAGAAGAGAGCAGGGGGGGACAGGACGGTTCAGAGGCTGGGCAGGGCTGGGAGCCCGCTCGGCCCCTCCGCGCCGCGCCCAGGCGAGGAGAGCGAGGAGGGCGAGGAGGCGGACGAGGCCGAGGAGCAGAGCGAGGGCGCGGAGGCGGAGGCGGGCCCGCAGCAGCCGGCGAAGCCGCACGCGCAGCAGAAGATCCAGATGAAGTGGACGCTCCCGCCCCAGCCGTCCTCCTCCTCCTCCTCCTCCTCCTCCTCCTCCTCCTCCTCCTCCTCCTCCCCTTGGGAGGAGGGCGCCGCGGCCTCCCCACGGCCAGGGGTGCGCCCTCGCTCGCTCCCTCCCTCCCCCCTCTGCTCCTAGGGGGGGAGGGGCAGGAGGGAGGAGGAAGGAGGAGCAGGTGGAGGATGGGCGAGCGGGCGCCTCGAGCCGGGGAGACGTTCCCGAGTAGTGTTCCTCTAGCCTCAACGGTGCCTCAACCCTCGGCGGGCCTTTCAGGGTCGGTGGGCTGGATACGTCCACCGGCAGAGGAGGTGGATGAGGAGGAGGAGGAGGAGGAGGAGGAGGAGGAGGAGGATGAAGAGGAGGACCAGTCTAAACCCAAGACGCATCGACGATGTTGCAATAAGCCCTCCCTCCAAATTCCCTCTTCATCGGTCCCAAACATAATGTATCTTCATTACGGGAAGTGGCTTACTAGAAGACATTCGTCTAATAATTCTCAATCGTGCCAGAACAACGTTCCTAGGAGTTCAGCGCCGCGGATTAACGTGACTGTTGCGCCCTGATCACCCTAAGTCGTGCCAGAACAACATTCCTAGGACTTCAACGCGTCGAATCAAAGTGACTGCCAAACCACGATTCCTGGGATTTCGACCATACAAACCGTTGGAACTTTTGCAGACGTTTCAGACGATTGTGCGCGGCTTTGAGGCGAGAGCCACATGTTGAAAAGGACTTGCCCTCCATCCTTGAAGCTGTTGCACACTTTCAGGGCCAATGCGCGCGGTGCCAAGGCGAGAGCCACATCTTTCCAACCACTCGCCCTCTATCCGTTCAACTGTTGCAAACTTTCAAGACGAATGTGCGCGGCGCTCACTCGAGAGCCACATTTTTGAAAAGGATCAACTCTCCAGCCGTGAAACTGCTGCACATTTCAAGCTTCAGGATCAGACATGGCGAGGGAGTCTCAGGCGAAGCGCCCCGTCCGCCTGCGGTCACGTCTGGGGGTGCGACAGGGAGGATATATTAATACGTGAGTGGGGTGGGTGACGATGATGAATGATGAGGAGGAGGAAGGGGAGGGGGATTAGGAGGAGGAGGAGGAGGAGGAGGAGGGAGGAATGGAGGAGGAGGAGAGGAGGGAGGAATGGAGGAGGGAGAGGAGAGAGGAGGAGGAGGAGGAGGAGGAGGAGGAGGAGGAGGAGGAGGGAGGGAGGAGGAGGAGGAGTGAGGAGGAGGAGGAGGAGGAGGAGGGAGAAAGGAGGAGGAGGAGGAAGAGGAGGAGGAGGAGGAGGAGGAGGAGGAGGAGGAGGAGGGAGGGAGGGAGGAGGGAGGAGGGGGAGGAGGAGCGAGGAGAGGAGGAGGGAGGAGGGAGGAGGAGGAGGAGCAGGAGGAGGAGGAGGAAGTGGAAGAATGAGGAAGAGGAAGATGAATACTAATAATAATACTAATAGTAAAACTACTGATAATATTAACACTAAGAAGAAGAAGAATAATCATCATACGAATAGTAAGAAGAATAATAATAAGAAGAAGAAGAGGAGGAGGAGAAGGAGGAGGGGGGAGGAGTTTGTTTATGTAAGAAAGCTCGGTGGAGGAGGAGGAGGAGGAGGAGGAGGAGAACGGAGGAGGAGGAGGAGGAGGAGGAGGAGGAAGAGGGGCGCAGACTGCGCCACGAGACAGCTTCGGATCCGCCCTCCCTCCGCCAGAATTCATGGCACCCGCCGTACGGTTTAGCCGACGCGCTGTTTGCCAGCGCTGTACCACCCGTGAACATATGCATAGACGTGTGCATACGCATACTTGTATTGAATCTAAAACTCTAAATGTACGTACGCCTACACTTGTACGCAAGCTTGTAGGTGTACGTATACATGTACGTGCACTTGTACTGGCACGTCTGCTTCTACGTATCAGTTTATTTAGACTTGCAGGCGTACTAGTACGTACACTTGCATTAAACATAACCATTGCATGTATCTCTCTACCTGCACGTATACTCCTACTGACGCTCATCCATGTTCGTACATATACATATAGTTGTTCGTGCAATGTTGCTTATACGTATGGTAATGCTATCACGTATGCGTATATGGATTCGTGTATTTAGATGTATGCTTAAACTCCAACGCCATGCTGATATGCATACGTAAAATTTCAAGCACAAGTATACTCAAGCTGATATACGCGTGTATGGATGTACATATTGGGGCTCTCTTGGGCCGTCTTGGGCGCCTCTTGGGCCGTCTTGAAACCCTCTTGGGCTGTCGTGGGGGGCGTCTTGGCTGCCTCTTGGGCCGTATTGGGGCGGTCTGGGGGGCGTCTTGGGCCGTCTTGGAGCGTCGGAAAGTTCAAAAGTCGTACATGCTGAAAATGTACGTATCTTCGGTGAATTGTACGGTTTTGGCCTCTTGGGGCTCTCTTGAGGGAGCCTCTTGGGCCGTCTGTTGGCTCGTCTTAGTGCCCTTTGGGGGCCATCTGGGGCCGTCTTAGGCCCTCCGGGGGCGCTCCGGACCCAGCGGCCCCCACCGGGCCCTGAGTCTAGCCGGATCAGTTTTCTATATATATATATATATATGTAGATAGATATATACATATATATATATATATATATATATATATACATAATACATATATATACACATATATATACATATATATGTATATATGTATATGGGGCTTCATTGTTTTAGTGCAGCTATATATCCCACCCTCTGGCACACTGGCGCTCCAGTGCCATCTTTCCAGACCCTCGCGGCTCTCTGCGGCACGTCCGAGGTGCGATGTCCCCCCCCCCCCGCCAGGCAGGCCCAGGACGAGGGTGCACCCGCTCCCAGAGCGTCTCGGGAGCACTCAAAGGGCAGCCTCGGGCCGCGGCGCCCAGTGCATCCTCCAGGCCCGGCGGCTGTCGGACTGCGTCTCAGGGATTCCCGAGTTGTCTTCCGGAGTTCTCTTCCTCCGCAGTTGTCCTCATGATTGCTGCCTTCGTCTTCCTCCCTCCCTGCCCCCCTCATCCTCGGAAACTGGAGCACTGGAGCATGTACATTACCAGTGGCGGGCTGCTTTTCAATCCCAGGACTTTTTGAGGGTCGGGGACGACGTCGGGTTGGTGCGGTTCATACTTTTTCCCCCGCTTTCCGGGGAATCAGCGAAAAATGTAATCACCAGGATCCCGTATACACCAGGATCCGCTTTCCTGTGCAAGTTTCAGTGCAGGGCCGCAGAAAGCGTTGGTGTATAGAGTTCTGTTCCCTGTCTTGATCCCTCCCTCCCTTCCTCAGCGTCCTCACCTGTCCCCATCCCCACTGGGAGGGCCTCGAATCCCGCTGTTCGAGGCGTTTTCTGCCCCCCCCTCCCCGCCCGTCGAGCTTCGTGGCCTCCGTCCCCGCCTCGAGGTGGTAGGGCTGGTGGCGCTAAGAAGCCCTGGCCCACTGGATGGGGACAGGTGTGACGAGGCTCTCTCAGGGCTCCCAGGGAAGAGGAGAGAGGAGAAGGGAAGGAACTGGCGGAGGGAGGAGCAAGGATGAGAAGGCAGGATGAGGATGAGGATGATGATAATGATGCTGATGCTGCTGATGATGCTGCTGCTGATGATGATGATGGTGGTGGTGCTGCTGATGATGATGATGCTGATGATGATAACGATGACGATCACGATGACGACGACGATGATCATGATTATGATGATGGTGGCGTTTGATCTTGACCGTGATCGTGATCATGATGATGATGCTGGTGTTGATGCTGATGATGATGCTGGTGTTGATGCTGATGATGATAATGATGATGATGCTGATGATGATGATGATGATGATTATGCTGACGCTGGTGCTGATGTTGGTGCGGATGGTGGTGGTGATGCCGATGACGAGGAGGAGGAGGAAGAGATGGTGATGATGATGATGATGATGATGATGATGATGATGATGATGATGATGATGACGGTGGTGATGCTGAATACGTTGCTGATTTTGAGGATGATGATGCTGATGGTGATCGTGTTGGTGTCGGTGTTGCTGCTACTGCTGATGCAGACGATGATGGTTGGTGATGGAATGCTGATGGTGGTGGTGGTGATGATAATTATGATGGTGATGATGCTGATGCTTATGATGCTGATGATGCTGATGATGCTGATGATGATGATGCTGATGATGATGATGATGCTGATGATGATGATGATGATGATGATGATGATGCGGGTGATGATGATGATACCAGTGGTAATGATGGTGTGGCTGGTGACGATAGTGATGGTTATGGTGATGGTTGTGGTGATGATGAGGAGGAGGACGAGGAGGAGCTGGGGGAGGAACAGAAAGAAGAGGATCAGGATGTTGATGTGGATGTGGATGCGGAAGCGGATGAGAATGAGGAAGAGGAGGAGGATGAGGAGGAGGAGCAGGAGGTTGTAAAGAGGACCAGGACGAGGACGAGGACGAGGGGGTACGAAGGACGGGGAGGGAAGTAGGAGGATTGGAGGAGGGAGGTGAGTGGGACGAGAGGAGGAGGATGTATGGAGAAGGAGGAGGAGGAGGAGGCGGTGGTGGTGGTGGAGGGGGAGGCAGAGGAGAACGTACGAGGAGGAGGTCTCAAAGGGTTACCGCCAGTACCTCATCGCGTTGCTCGCGCCCCATCTCCGATCTCCCCACTGCCGCCCCACGCTCCCAGAGCCTACTGCCGTCCCACGCTCCCAGAGCCCATTTTCAAGGTTCCACCGTCATTTCGATTGTCGCGCTGCTCGCTTCCCTCCAGCTCTTGCATCCCTCCCCCTCCCCCCTTCCCCCCTCCACCCCTCTCCAGTCCCCCTCCTTACCTCTCGCCCCCCTCCCTGCCCACTCAATTTCCTTCCCCTTTGCTTCCCCGCTTCCCCCTCCTTTCCCCGCTCCCTTGCTTCCCCCTC